ACCCCCCCCCAACAAAACAACAACCCATAACAAAACAACCATAAAAACAAACAAACAGACAAACAAACAGACACATACTAATCAGTTGAAAACATATCAATTCGAGCCCTGAGTCAATTTTCTGCCCATATCTCCATTTCGGGATTGCTAGAAGTAACTCATTTTATCTGCACGCCTCACATGTGTTGTTCCTGGTCCTGTGAGCTTTTCTACCAACATAATTATCAATAATATTATCCTTCATAACAACGCATTGTATCACTGCGGTGTCGGGTTGTCTGGAATAATCTCCGAGTCCCACGTTAGGTCTCCCTCCATCATCTGTTGGGACGACCACGTCATGTTCAAGCCGCTGCGGCGTGCGTACAGCCTCTGAGCCTTGATCTCTTGCTTCAGCCGCTTCAGTTCTGCCTAAACACGGAACAAAAAAAGATTTCTTTAAATGTAGGTGTTTGCACTCGAGGAAGTGAGGGACAAAATCAGACATGCCTTTGGGCCCTATGAAGATCTCACCACTATGAAAAAACACACAGTGATATGTATGGGCACATAACAAGATCAACAGGGCTTGCAAAGGTGATCCTACAGGGCGCTGTGCAAGGAGGGAGAAAAAAGACAGACAGAAAAAGAGATGTGAAGACAATATAACAGAATGGATAGGTATAAAGTTGAGTGAAGCCCTTTGAAAGGCTGAAAACAGAGAAGGATGGATGCCCGATCATCCTTGGTGCTCCAACAGTCATCTAACTAGGACTAAGGGATAACATAACATCACGTTTACACCCCCTAATCGACACAATTTAGACAAATTATTAGAAAGCAGGCTTCTACCATGCCTGTCATGATCAGCCCAGGCTGACAGAGATACAACATCCTATAAGAAAGACCGAAACACACAATAACAATTCCCTCCAAATGGGAATCGAAATCAGTTGTTTTTTTTGCGTGCGACGACTGTATCCCAGACACCGGTTGTATAATATCATCATCACCCGGTGCCTTGCCGACTGGCGTGGGCGATCATGGACCTCCACTTCCATCTGTCTTGCGTTGCAGCAATGGTGTCTGCTGTTCTTGCAGCTCCCAGCCATGTTGTCAACTTGTCCAGTATCTTTTCCCTCTGTCTGCCCCTGCCTCTCTTTCCATCAAACTTGCCTTTTGTTAAAATATTCTCCAATGTTTCTTTCTGCATTGTGTGTCCAATGAAATGTGCCTGCCGCTTTCGTATATTAGTTGTAAGCTGTATTCTTTTCAATTTACTTCAACCAAGACGTCTTTAATCGTTTTTCTAGCTGTCCATGGGATACGCAGCATGCGTCTTATGAACCACAACTTGTACATAACAAGATGTAAACATTAAAAAATAACAATAAAGGCGACATAAACAGCCGGCAGAATTATTAACTGACACCAGCAGACCAACCAATAATTAAATAAAGTAATAAACCAACAAACCGACCCAGATGCGAAACATCTGCGGACAAGCCAACAATTGAACTAACAAATTAAATCTATCAAAGAGCCACCCAACCAACAGAACAACAAACAAAATAATAATCCAACAAATCGATTGACGAACCTATCAACAAATTAAAGGCAACTCAATCAACTAAACAACCAAATTTACAAGCAACCGACCAGTCAACACATGAACAAGTGAAATGGATCAACCAATCAAACATTCAACATGGGCCTCTAGCAATCAGCTATAGTCCTTATTCATAGTACTCGTGTGTTTTTAATGTGATGTGTATATCGACATTGATTGTGTAATGATAGTATGCATGTCCGCGGATGTGTTATTGTAACCTAAAGATCGGAAATGTGTATGTTTATTCACTTGCGTTTTGTGTTTATATTATTTATTGTATAGTAAAGCGTCTTAAGTTGTAATGTAATGGAGGTTGCCCAAGGTAAGTAATCTGCATTATTATTATTATATACCAGACGTACATTTAATCAACCAATCAATGAACTGAACCGTAGAACAACCAATCATCAACGTACATTAATTAGCCTCGGGGTATAGGCCCTATTTAATCAACCAATCAACGAACCGTACAACAACTAATCCTCAATGCACCTTTAAACGTACATTTAGTCAGTCAATCAATCAACGAAACGAACAAAAACTAATCACCAACACACATTTAGCCTCGTCGTCTCCACATTGGATTATTGCTATTAACTCTTTTCGAACGTAGTGGACACATATAATATATTAAAACGTTGTTCGATAGCTGACAAAGTGTTGTGGCGCAATCGGATACTGTATATTTGTACAGTTTGCAAGTTATTGTAGGTCTTCCTAGGTTGCAGAATAAGGAAAAAAATCTTAAAAACGTGTACAAAGTATAAAGTAATATAATCAGTACGTCTTCATCTGTTTTCGAGTAAACAGAATGTGCATCATCAAAGAGTTAACCAGACGTGCATTCAGTCAACCAACCAACGAAACGGACAACAACCATTAATAATTATTAAAGTACCTTTAGCCTCATAGTCTCCACATTGTTTGCCCCACAGGAGCCCCGTATGAAGAGATGTCCTAGACTGGTGATGACGATCCCCACATAAGCCAGTCCGAACAACACCCACACCAGGCTCATCACACGGTAGATGTGGTGGCCTGCGCTGTTGTTTTGGTGAGCAGCCGAGGTCGCTGAAGAAGATGAACGATTGATTTAGATAATTATTTTTTCTGAAACTGAAGGGGTCAGAAAACTAAAACAAGTGAAGATTGATTTGATAATTTTGTTGAAACTTGAGGGGTCAGAAAATAAAACTGGGGTCAATGGTGTAACGGTTATGCGCTTCGCTGTGGCATGCAGAAAACCCGAGTCCGATTCCCGGATGGGGAGAATTTTTAACGAGTGTGGCGGTCTTTTTCAGCTGGTTTATTCAATCCCTCTCATCCCGGATTACATCTGATAGGCAGTGTCGAAGCTGCATTCTAAATGTTTTGCATCGTGGTGAAATCAGGCGCTTGTCAAAATAATGACAGC